TTTTTTTGTCTTTTTCCGTGTCCGGCAACGGATCGCAACCCTCAGTGTCACCCCCGCACCGGACCGGGACCGGCAACGGGACCGCAACCCTTGGTGCTGCTCCCGCACCTCGCTCAGCCAGTGAGCGGGAACCGGTCTGTATGTGGGATCCGAACCCTCGGGCGGGAGCGCCGCCACGCTTCCCAAGCGGCGCACTATCCAGTGCGCCACCGGGCCGGCCCATATTTCAGATATATTGGGTTAAATAAAATATATTACTAAAATTAACTTAACCTGTGTCTTTTTTACTTTCCTAGTACGGAAATGTAAAGTTGCATGTGTGGCTGGCATTTGTGGCTTGCAGTATCTTTCTACTGGACAGTGCTGCCATGGAACTTGCAACCTACAAGACTGTCCCGAGAACTGTGTACCAGGCACTGGCAGCACCTGGCCCCAAAGACGAGAAACCACCAGGCCCCCATGCCCTGTGCAACAGGCCTAACCATCATGCATACAGATGCCACCTTGGGAACAAGTAAAATCTATAGTGCTTTGAACTTCCAAAGAAATCTTATCATATTAGCCTCACTTTCCATTTTTAAAGCCTTTCAAATGATAAAAATGCTTCCTGACAGTGCCTTTCATTTTTTTTCTTATTGGTTTACTTAGCAACAAATTGTTAATAATTGACTGGGGGCTGCAGCTCGCCTGCGTGCCTGTACCATCCATCTTCCCAGGGAGCAGAGGGACATGCAGAGCTGGGCAAAGGGGCCTGGCTACCCTTTTGCAAAGGAGCCTGTTCTTTTCAGGGCCAGGTGATGACTTCTCAATGTGAACAGGTAGCATATTCAATCTTGACCCCTCTGTGGGGTGGGCAGAACCACTCAGCTAGCTGTGATGGAGCCAGGTTTGAAGCCAGGCACCTCCCATGCCCAGCCCCTGCTCCTCCCACTGCACACATTGCTCCTTGACTGCCACGATAACGGATGCAGTTGTGTAAGAGTTTGGAATGGGGACCAAGAGACATACCCTGAAGGGCACACCAGCTCCCATGGCCTTCTCTGATCACCTAAGCTGTCAGTATCCAGGCATTTTTAATTAGCCCCCTGCCTGATCTGGATCTAGAGCCCCAGCTGCACCCGTAACACTGGGTATCTGTGAATGGTCTCCAAGAGAAAATTATCAACTCCTTCCTCCATGGGAAAAACTTCTTTCAGGTTTCAGAGTCAGGTTTATTATTATCTTGTAGACATTGGCTGGTTTAATTAATCTTGTTTCCCTCTTTGCATTGGCTTCTAGGAAGCTCCAGAAATAAGAGGCTTATGTGCACTATAGCTCAGAGCACTTACTTTTTAATACTAACTCTATTCCTGGCTTCACCTTATTGTTCCCCTTTCTCTCATTTTCTCATTACTTATGTTTCTTTTAATCTCTCACATCATGTATGTATTTAGAAGCCCCCTTTTAGAAACAGACAGGACACACATAAGTAATCATGCCTCCCACTTGGAGAGGGAAACAGCATCTCCCGGGGTCTCCTACTCCAGCCCCTTCTCTCCCACAGAAGCCCTGGAAGGCTCAAGGTCTCATGTGGGCTGACTTTGCCCCCAGTAGGCAGGCTGCTGGGGATCAGAGGCTTACGTGCACCAGCTGCTCCTGGGTGTCGTACTCCTTGGTGCAGTCTTCCCAGTGGCAATTGGTCTCGTAGATGACCACCTCGGCCTCCTGCTTACAGTCATCCCTGTCCAGGTCTTCCTTGAGATCAGCCAACTGCTCCTGGGGGAAAAGAACACAACCATGTAAGCTGTGTCCACATGCCTGGCCCTTAGGAGAGGGCGCTATTAGCCCCATGCAGTCTGTGCCGAGGATCCTGGACTAGTAGAGATGCAGCTGCACACCCATGCACACGTACACATGCACACCTCATCTTTTTCAGCACCTCCCATTGTTCTCTGGTCAGACAGCCATCCTGTTGTCATTACCAAGGTATCCCATCACATCCTGGGTCTACTGACATGCAAAGAGAACAGGAGAAGAAGGGGCCGTGATTTGTGCTTTTTGGTTTGGTTTCCCCTGTTGGGAGCTGGGGTGGGCCCCATAGGCTTTGGCGCTGGGGCATTTTTACCTATAATGTATACGGGGTCCGCTCCTGCCTGGAGGTAAGAGAAAACCCAACATGCCTTTCACCCTTCAGAGTTGTTACTCTCATATGGTCCCCTCCTCCTCAGGGGCACACAATGCACCTTGGTTCAAACCCAGGGTAGTGCTACAGCCTGCTAAATGCTCTGCCAAGTGAATGCACTAGGCACATTCTCGCAGCACTAGTTTTCCCTGCAATAGCCCTAAGCATGTGCATCTACGTTCTTGCATTACAGCCGGGGAAACTGAGGCTCAGGGAAAGGTTGACTCATCCTCCTTAGAACACACAATGAGTCTGTGGCAGCCGAAATATGGACTTGAGTCTCCCAACTATATTAGGGCCCACATGACCATTTCAAGGAGATGAAGAAAAACTCCCTGAGACATTCCTTCTGCTGATCAGATGTGCTTGAAATTCCTTTCAAAGAGGTGAAAGTCTTTTACTCCCAAAATAGTAATAGACTGAGAACCCCACTGGCTGAACTTGCCCCAGCTGATGCTAACTCAGAGCTGGCCAAGGGCAGCCTCTGAGCAGAGGACATGGCGACAGGCTGGATGTCCCTGCCTGGGGCTGGGCGGAGGCCCTTTGAGAACTGGGAGTAGATCTGCTATTTCCATACACTGCTCGCTTCTGGAGACCGGAAGCAGCTGACAGATTGACGTACAGAGCAGAGGGGAGCACAGAGGCTGTGACACAGCCTAGGCCACGATTTTGAGGGTTTCAGCAAAGTGGGGACTTGCTATGCTGTATTTTTTGCCCACAGAAAGCAAGCCATCCACCTCACAAATGAGCCAGGGGTCCTTGGTCAATCACGATGCTGAGTGACATGTGAACAATCCCCTCATAATAAACATCTTTCCTTCTACTAACACACTGGGAGGAGCCAGCTGGGCAGGAAGGAGGCCTCATGCAGCCCACCTGGGCTGGGGCTCCCAGGTGCTCCAGGCCTGCCTCCCAGCCTGTCCTCCCCACTCTGGTATGTTTATCTTCCCTGGATATGTGTCGTCCTCATCAATTTCAACAGCCCCCGCTGATGGCCAGCCTTGTGGAAATCATGCATCATGCGGAGAACTGCTTTGGTGTCAGCAAGGGGAGAAGAATTTGTCACCAGCCCTTGTGTTTGCCTGACAATAACAGAACCCAATAATTCATGAAAATTAAGTGCCCAGAGCATGCCCAATGGTTTACAGTTTTGATAAAGGATGGTCTAGCAGATGCAGGGGGACGGGGAGTGGAGGCCTGGAGCATCCTTGGTGTCCAAGCTGGGGATTCTGTCATAACGGATGAATGAGAGGCCATTGAGGGAGGGCCTGGGGGGCTAGGAGGCTTATCTTCGAGGTCAGCAGGCATGACAGGCCCCTGCTCCAAAAGCAGGGACTTCCTGTCTACTATCTTGGGAGTGTTAGACTAAGTGGTCTGCACAAGGTTCTTGACTATGCAACAGGCCTGCCCCAGGCTGTGGGCTGCTCCTTACAGTCCCCACCAGGAATGGTCCTCCCTACGCTCCCCCTCACCACGCCACCCACTCAAATGTGCAGTCATTGGAAATATGACTTCTCGGCGACTGCATGCTAGGCCCTGCGCAAATCCTGGTGACACGGAGACAAACCTTACACTTCTCCCTGAGTGCCACCTCTACAAAGCTTACAGTGTAGTGGGGGAGATGGGTGTGAACATGATTCATGCCCTGAAGTGACCCAGGAGCCAAGTCAAGTTATGCATTAGGACAGATGCCAGTCCCATTACCCAGAAGGGTCAGGTAAGTTGAAAGGTTAGGGAAGGGGATGGGCTGGGGGATTTAACACCAGGAAGGAGAACAGCCCACAGGGGACTGAGCCATTCAGGGGACATGAGCAACTCAGTGTGGCTGAGGCTTGTGTTGCTCAAGGCTGAGGTGTCGGGTGAGGTAGCTGCATGTATGGAGTACAAGGGGGAAGGGTAGGCAGAAGTTCATGCATTCATTCATTCATTCGGGTTGTGTTTCATGAGCAGGTAGTGTGTACAGGGTACTGGGGACAGAGTGGTGAGACGATCACAGCTCAGTGCTCCCACCCCTTTGTCTTTGATTCATTCATTCCTGCAGGCAGTCATCCATCTGTCCAACCACCACTGGAGTCTTGACCCCAAGACAGCCAACCCAGAGGAGACCCAGCCTGGTCCCAGCCAGAGGATGGTCAGAATGGCCAGCAGGTTACCTGCGTCAGCGCCAAGGGGGAGGCTGGCCGCAAGCCCTCGGCCTCCGTCTTGACCTTGCTGCGCTTGTGAATGGTGATGGGGTTGACAGTGCTGCTCACGGCGGACTCGCTGTTCTGCTTGTTCTGAGGGAGGGTGCAGAGGACAGCCCGTCACACAGGCTCAGGGCAGGGACACCCCAAATTCTGTTTGGCCTTTGCCTTTGGGTCCTCCCCATACAGACTGTCTTAGGTCAACCTGGTATTTGAGGTATCAGAAACCAAGTGCCCCAGCTTGGTCCTCCAGCCAGAGGTACAGCCGGCCAGGAGAGAGCCCAGGCCTAGGCTGCCAGAACCTTCCTCTCCACCATGCGGCTGCCACCTCCATGTCCCCAAGACTTCAGAGAAATGCAAAAGAGACCCTCTCTTTGGAAAATGCTGGGCACTCTTGCTCCATCCTGATGAGGTTCCACTTCTCAGCCCCACAAAGGAGGGGCGGCCAGCCCAGGGAGCAGGAGACAAGGGCATGGTTCTCAGGAGAAGGGGCTAGAGCTGCAGTATCAGGTGACGTTTTAAAAACCAGCAGTGACCGTCCAAAGGAGGTGCTGGTGGCCACCTGGAGCCCTGGGAAAAAGAGGAAGGTCATTCTGGCAAAGGGGACACTTTAAATTGTGCGGTGTCTTGTCTTCCTCCTCAGGATGCAGTCTTATCCAGGCTCCGCCACTTGCCAGTCGGTGGTCTGGGACAGTCACTTCACCTCTAGCATTGCCATGGTGAATGCTTTCTAGGATCTAGGGTCCACAGGGGGGTTTTGTGCACACATGTGCTCATTTATATGCACAACAACCCAAGCCAGGTGACAGGCCTCTCACTTTGCAGATGAGTTAGCTCAAACTAGAGAGGTAGAGAGATTTGCTGCTTTTAGGCAAGTCAGGATCCAAACTTGGTCTGACTAATTCTAGAGGCTGTGCCTTCCCATGTCCTCATCTATAAAATATGTAACTTCATTCATTGCCAAATATTAAGGGCTCCTAGTGTGTGCCAGGCACCGTGCTGAGATGCTCAAGATGTCAAAGGCCCATTGGAGAGGTCAAATAAGATGGTGTGTGAGAGCCCACAGCATACTTGTGCTCTAAAACTAAACTGCATAGTATTATCATTGCTCATCCACCCATTTCATGTGCTGTGCATGGAGTACCTACAAGGTAACAGACTCTGTGAATTAAAGGGTTTCTCCATCTACTTATGTTTATTGGACAGGAGGCAGCAGGACTGAGAAGCTGGGAGCTTGCCACGGACTGAGCCCAGGTCTCCTGGCCTGCCCAAGGCCCTTTCCATCATGTGGCCTCTGCCCAGAAGGCCTTCCACCAGCCAGAACCACGTCCAGCATCCTTCTACAAGTTCCTGGCATGAGATGGCAGTGAACAGCCCTCATGGAGGCACTGCTCCCTGCGCCCACCTACCTGGTTGGCGTCGCTCAGACAGTTGCTGCTGCTGCTGAGCTGGGTGGGAGTGGCATTGATGGAGGTGAGGGCTATGGGCTGCTGGGCCAGGAAGGTGGGTGAGGGCTGGATCAGGGGTGGTGTGTGTCCGAAGGCTGAGCCCAGGCCCCTCTGTTGGCTCAGGATCTGCTGGTAGGCCATGGGGTTGATGGGATGGGGGAAGGTGAAGGCTGGGCTGCAACAGAGAGCAGACAAGAAGGTGGGGAGGGGTGGGGGCTCCGTTAAACTGTTGCTTTTTGGGAAGAGAGGACACTGCCCAGGGGATTGGGATGGGTATGTTGCTAACTCCACCTTCATTTTGGCCTTCCCTCACTCAAGAACCAGCAGTGGCTCCCTACTTCCTGCCACTTGGGCTTCACCTTCTGTGCTTAGCTGCCAGGCCCTGCTGCAGGATGCAGCCTCCGCCCTGGCAGGTTGGCCCCCAGCAGGTTCTAGGCTCCATCTCACCCCAATACCCTGGCCCCTCCACTTCTCTGACACCTGAGATGCATCCCGTACTCCCGCTCCCTGACTATTTGAACCTCATTCAGCCTCCGAAGCCTGCTCTAATGCCCCCCATCCAGGAAGCATGGCCTGAGCCCTCCGGATCATGTTATCCCCTTTTCTTTGACATCTGCTGCACTTGGCTCTGTCACACCACTCACACACAAGCCTCTCTTTCCACAGCAGGATCCCGAGGAAATATTGGGACCTCTGAGGGTAAGCCATCAAAGGCTTCATGGCTTCCTCCTCGTTCTCTCTTGCATCATTCGCTCTGGGAGGGAGGGGGGTGGGAGCCATCTGCCATGTTGTGAGGACACTCAAGCAGCCCTACGGAGAGGCCCACGTGCAAGGAACTAAAGCTTCTGCCCACAGTCCTCAGTGAGCCATCCTGCAAATGGATGCCCCCGGCCTGGTCAAGTCTTCTGATGGTTGCAGCTCTGACTGACAGCTTGATTGCAGCCCCATGAGAGAGCCAAGCTAATTGTCTCAAATTCCTGATCCTTGGGAACAGTGTGAGGTAATAAATGCCTATGGTTTTAAGCTGCTAAGCATGAGAGCAATTTGTTATGCGGCATAAGATGACGAATACACTTGTTATGACTTCCATCTCTGGGTCTGCGAGCCAAAGTCTCCTGACATTCCTAACACTTCCTGGCCTCTCTCAAAAGGGTCAGGGCAAGGACACAAGTTTCAGTCAAGCTGGCTGGGGTCAGAGTCCTCAGACAGTCAGGGGTAGCACAGAGGGAGGCCTGCTGTCAGCCCAGAGACTTGCTTAGATCATGGGCTCACATCGCCTTGCATGGCCAATGTTGGTCAACACCTGGCTGCTTCACTGTACCTCATTAAATGCTTGGAAAGCTACTTTTGATCTCAAACACCTTTGATTTCATGACTGACTCATTCATGACAGGCTTGGTGCATGAAACTGTACTCAAATATTGATAAATTTCAATCTTATAGTTCTGAATTAACAAAAAAGTTGCAAATATTCACAAATGCAACAAGTCCTTTCTCCTCTGGTTGAAAGTATCAACCAAAAAGCCAGACTCTCCCCACGTGGTCTTGGCCCCCTGCTTGCAGGTGGGGCTCACCTGAGGGCACCTGCTGACAGGTGCCCATAGGAGCCACTGGCTGCCGAGCTGCTGCGAGAGTTGTTGATGTAGGCCACCAGAGAGTTGGGCGAGGTCCGGATCATGCGCTGCAAGTCAAGGCTGGCATCTGAGAGCGGGGAGATGGACAATGCCCGCTTGCGGCTCAGGCGGGGGGTCACCCGTGGGCTGGAGAAACGCGACACTGTGGGACAGCAAACACAAGGCACATCAGCATCACTGGTGTTGGGGGTAATAGAGTTGGGTCAAGGGGAATGGGGGACAGGAAAAGCCAGTAAGGATAGTCTAATGGGAATCACAGCTCTGCCAACTTTCCAGCTGTGGGCTCTTAGGCAAAAGACATATCCTCTCTTGGTCTCAGTTTATTCATCCGTAAAATGGGACCAATCAGCATAGGGTGTGGTGAGGACTTGAGAAGTACACGTAAGGTGTTCAGGTGAGTGAATGTAAGCCTTGAGCATCTGTTAGCATCTTTACGATTGGGTGCAGAGACTAATGCTGGAATCCAGCAATGCTTAAGGCACAATAGCAAAGTGCATGAACTGTAAGTGAGCAGCTTGGTGGCCTCTCACAAAGCAAACTCACCTAGGAAACCAGCTCTGGGTCAAGAAACAGGGCATGACCAGTGCCCACGAGCCCCCTAACCCCTCCGGGCCCACCCCAAAGGCAGCCACTGTCTGGCTTCTAACACGCTGCTTGGTGTTGCCTACTTTTGAGCTTTATAAAAACCCTTTAATAGCTAGCTTCTTTCATTCACACTATCAGTTAGTGAGATTTCTCCAAGCTGTATGTGAGGCAGCAATTTACTCATTCTCACTGCTTTAGAGAGAGAATTCCATGGGAAAAGAGTGAATGGAGTGAAGTGTTCCAGGGTCATGGGTCATGTTGTAAATGGGATCATCACTAAAATGCCCCCGATAGGCTATTTCCCCAGATTCTTAGCATGATGCTTGGATCTTTGGCTGGCTCTCCAGAGCCTGCTGGGCAGGCTGCCATGAGGAGGTGAGGAGCACACAAGAGGAGCAGCAGCAGTGAGAGGACACCTGACGCATGCAAGGGCTCTTGCACACCAAGGTCCTCAGTTCTGGAGTCGCTCAGCCTCTGGCAGCCTGTTGCTTTAAACACGCACACCACATATGCATGCATGGATACGCACACATGTATGCAGGTGCACACACCACACATACCACACATGCATGCATATACAACGCACGCACAGACACCTGAGCACACACACAGATACATGTACTCATGAATGCACACACACTCCACACACACATGCATGTGCATGCACACTCACACAAACACACAATACTGCTGCTCTAACCACCCTTTGGATATGCCCTCACCCCTTATCAGCTGCTGTCACACATACATAACCATGGGAAGGGAAGATGGCCTGCCCTAGACCAGGGCTCCATGCACCCCAAGGCCACAGGTTCTCCTGCTGTGGCTCCAGACTGCTCCCGCTCACAGCATCCACCACCCTGCATCAGGATTCTGAGTTTCTCCTCCAGACAAACAGTGGCCTAGAAAGGTCTGACATCACTGGATGATTTTTCACACACAGAGGTTTGTACCCTGTCCAGATCCTCCCTGAGCCCATTTCTTCTTTTTAAAGGGGCCTGATAATAGTACCAACCTCCAGGGCTTCCATGAGACGTAAATTAGGAGATGTGTGAGAGGTGCCTGGCCTACAGCAGGGTATAGTAAATGATCGGTTATGTCACTGCCTTCTGGATACTTTTATGGGAGAGTCTTCTTCTTAGGCCTTACTGGCCCCTGACCACCCTGTCTCCTTTCAGTGGCCCCCAGGTTCCCCACAGGCTGGAGGTGTTGCCTATAAACTACCCTGGTGGCTGCTCAAAAGCACCCACATCTGTGCTCAGCTATTCCTGGGCTTGTTATGCCTGCTTTCCTCCCTTCTGCCTGCTCAGTCCCTGTCTGGATACTCCCTCCTCCAGGGGACAGTAGGCTGCCCTGGCCGCAGGGTCTGGCTCACCCAGCCTCCTGCCCGCAGTCCACATGGCTCCTTGGGGCTCCTGCAGTTCTTCTACTGATGTGGCTCTGCCCACCAACCTCAGGGTTGTTCTCAGTCAAGCGTGTTTCTGTGCCTTGTCCCCACAGTTGTGGGAGCACCGAGGGCAGTGGAGATGGCTTATAACCCTTAGGGCCCCCACTCCATGCCCAACAACCCCCAAAAGGTTGCATGAGCTCACAGAGCCCACACCCACCAACGGAAGAAGCTGCTCACCTTGGGATCCATTTCTGGGCCCTGGGGGGCAACCACGCCTGGCTTACCCCCCCCCCAACTTGGCCTAGGGAGTACTGGGAATCCCCTTACTGCTGGGCCACTGGGAGAAGCACCTCTCCCAGGCTGTGGAGAGGACAGAGGAGGCCCCAGCATCCTTGGGCCGGAAGGGGCTTCCAGGGTTTTCTCTCCTAATGGCCTCCTTCATGGATAAGGGGAGTCTGAGGCCTCAGAGTGGCTGGAGATGACAGGCTCTGGGTACAGGGATGGACACCCAAGCTGGACCAGTAAACTGCAGGGGGGTGAGGTGGGGTGAGGGGTGCCCACAGGTGACCTTGAGCTGAGGCCATAAGTCAGCCACATGGCTTGAGGCAAATCACTTTACCTGTCGAAGACTCAAAATCTTCGTCAATGACCTGAGCATAAAAACGTGTCTCCTGCCAGCTGTGGGGTTGTGTGATCTAATGGATGATGGATGTGGAGGTGGCCTGTACACACCAGAATGGCCCACGATTGTAACACTCAGGCGACCCTACACTTTGCATACTTTGTTTTCAATAAGAAGGGTGAAGCAATTTTAGGAAAGCTCCCTGTGGGAAGAAAAAGTTGAGCAAACTAGAATATTCTTTTCTCTCACCATCCTTGTCAGCTAAAGTTTTTGTTTTTGGCTGCCTGCTTATTCTATTGGGCTCTGATGACAGGGGCTGACAGATCTTTTAGCAAGCAGAGCTATGGTGAGTACCCAGCAGGTGACCCGCAGATGCTTCTGGGGAGCTGGCTGGCTGTGCCCTGCAGAGAGGCTGGGGGCATGCAGGTAACTCACTCAGAAAACTCCTCCTTTGTGCTGTGGCAGGAAGGATCCCAGCCCACATGCCTAAGGACACAAGAGGCACAGGGGGATGGCAGAGCAGGCCCACTCCCCTGACAGCACTACAGCTATGCTGCAAACATGACCTACCATCCTGAATGAGGATCCCAGATGGCAAACAGATATATCCTGGCCAGTCAGCAAGTACAGCAGATAGGAGTCCCTTTGGCGCAGTATTTGGAGAAGGGCCTGCTTCTGAATCCTTGAGTGATTAATAATCCAGAGACAACCACCGCTTAGTGACATTCAGACCCACTGTCTCATGTAACAGCTACCTCCATCCTCTGATATCAGCTTTCCAGATAAGGAAACTAGGCATGGGAGGTTAGTAACTTGCTCAAGGTCATGGAACTATAGAGGCAGGATTTGAGCCCAGGTCCAAAGGAGCCCTACTGTGTGGACTTTCTGGGTACCCAGTATCTTCACTGTCCATCTTCAGGGGGTGGGGTGAGGCCCAGGGCTAGGACGCTATCTCCCCACAAGCAGTTTTTAACCTTCCACTTTCAGTGGCTCTGGATAGTGAACTTGGCTTCTCTACCTGACTGAAAGGCAGCTCCAATTCAGCAGCTCAGCCCAACACTCCTGATCTGTGCCTGGACGGGATCCTCCTGCAGGGTCGAGCTCAGCAAGCACCCACCACCCACTCAGCAGCGGGGTGGGAGACCCGTGAGTCAGTCAAGCCCTCCTCTCTCTGTTCTTTCACAACTGAGCCCACGGATGTCAGCTCCTGAACCCCTATTCGCATCCCGTTTCTCCCAAACTCCACCACCTAGCCCAACTCATCACCGGCTCAGATCATTCCAGGGGCTCTTAGCTAATTGCTGTCCAATCTTCCTTGCTGCAGCCAGAGAGCTTTTCAACTTGCAAGCGGGATCATGTCCCTGCCCTCCCCCTAAACTTTCCAGAGCTCCCCACTGCTATTGTAAAAAAGCCTTCCACGGTGGCCCTGTGGGGGTGCCCCCACCCGCCTCTCCAGCATCACCAGGCCTCATGTCCCGTTCTCAGCTCCAGCCCTCGAGCCTCCTTCCAGCTCCTCCATCATGTCACTGGCACAGGGCCTTTGCTCATGCAGCTTCCTCTGCCTCCTCTGTGCTCAGACCTTAGCTGAGTCGTCACCTCCCCGTGGAAACCTTCCCTGACTTCCCTGAGTTGGGAAGATCCTCCTATGCTCAGGACCCTCTCCCCAAACAAGGGTTGCCCTGGTGGGTTTGTATCCACTTGTGTGGTTATCTGCTTGCTTCTGTCTCTCTCACCTTCATGAAATAGGGACTCAAATCCTTTTCCCGCCTGACCATCACATACCCAACACTCAAATACAGCTGGCTCAGCAGTGAGCCCAGGTGGAAGGTGCCAAGTGCTGACCAAATGCCCAGACACGACATGTTGAGGACAAGCAGAATCACAGCCACCAAAAGTTAGCACTTACTGAAAACCTCCATCACGTGTGCTAGGTACTAGTCAGAGAACTTTAAAGAATGAAATAATTTAATCTTCACAATTGCCCCACAAGGAAGAGGCTATTATTACCTTCATTTTATAGAAGACAAAACAAACGTGTAGGGAGGCTAAGTAACTTGCCCAAGGCCACACAGCCAGAGGAAATGGAGACCAGGATTGGAAGGCAGGCTCGCAGACACCAAAGCCACCTGCCATGGTGCCTATGCCCACGGTGGGGAGGAAAGGTGTCTCGGCGAGGTACGACAGTAGGAGGGCCAGGAAGGGTGCCCTGCAGGGGAGGAGGCCCAGGTGGACACGCTTGTGCACGCACATGATGTAGAGGCACACAGGACAGTCTGCGCCGATGGCCATGCCGAGCCTGTCACTTAGGGGCTGCATTGGAGCACGTTCCTCTGCCTCCCTGAACTTCTCCCTGTATAATGGGCGCTACATGGTTTGTTTTGCAGGGTTGTTGCGAAGAGCACCAAGGATAGTGTCTAAAACCCAGCAGACATTCCAAAATGAAATTGCTAATTGATATAGCTTCCTCAGGGATTAGGAGGACTGTTCTGATGGGCAGGCTGGGCCTACAGTTAATCATGGAGTAAAGGACAGCAAGTCTGGGAAA